GGCTTGTGGATCTTGCAGGCCAGTCCAGAACAACGATTTGATGTGTTTGGAAGAAGTTTTCATTGATCGTAGCCATTTGTGGTCGGGTGTTGTCTTGTTAGCTCGTTCCATCATCCGTGCCATGTAGCGTAGTCACCATGACAAAGAATTTCGTCACAATAATGTCGTTATTTGAGGTTGCTTTGAAAAGTAACTAAATGTATACGACAAAAAGCAGAGATTCCACCCCCTACCATCACATTTCAGCCACCTTCGGGCCTCTTGGGGGGATGTTGGATTTGTGAAATTTCTATTCTCTAAACACTTTATCTCTTTCATCAATGCAACGAATTAAAAACCAGAACCAGGGCTTAAAAGAAAACTTTACCAACGTCTTTAATTTCATCAACAATGTTGTTGTGCCAAAATTTGGCGATTTCTTCAATGAAACAGGATTAGAATGGCTCCCTATAAAGGGCGATAATCACGAAATCCACCATCTTATAAATGTCTAATAATGATGTTTCAAGACAGTCCAAAGTGTCAAGCAGTCTCTGCACTAAGTTGAAAGGGGTTTTCAACATGGGTGTTGACAATAGCCCAATTGTGTCGAGTTGTCGCCCTTGGTTGCCTACATCTCGGCTTGTCTTGGACAATTCTAGTGGTGTTAAAACGTTTGTTCAAGCGTTAGATGGTTCCTCTGCAAACATTTACGTGTCTTGCAACAGCAGAAAGCGCAATTAAAGAACTTATCATACACACACCCCTTTATTTTCTGAATTTATCATTAAACATTTTTTTAAACAGGAGAAAAAGGTACCCAACCGTTAAAACGTATGGAATGTTATAGTGTGTATGGTGTGTTTATGCATTGTCTACGTGATTCAAAGCATATTTTGTGTGTAGGACTCGTTGATTTCAACACAGACCGAGAGAAATCAATATCAACACTTTGTCCACGTACTACTTCCGGTTTAAGATTTCTTTGGTCTGCTCTTGCACAAGAAGTCTCATGAGTCCCACAAGTCATACTTTTAATTTTTACTGCAATTCTTACGCTATACCGAAAATTATCGTAATACAATGGGTGTGACAGAACTTTTGCAACTCGATATATATATATATATATATATATATATATATATATATATATATATATATATATATATATATATATATATATATATATATATATGTATATATATACATACATACATTACATATGTATATATATTTGATCATCTTAACAAGATTTTTGCTAAATTAAATCTTTAATTAACCACAAATAGAATAGTAATAGTAATAATGTGAAAACATTTTTCGCCTCTCCCGAAGAAAATAATAAAAATGTCTCACTACGCTGACGCTATTGCGCGGCATGTGGGACTGGCCTCACCTGTCGTTGTTAACACACTTTCAAAAAGATTATAACATCTTTAATTCTATACCTTTTTTAAATTCTGTTTATTTGACTGAAACCCCCCAAAAAGTTTGTAACAGCCTGCAAATTCGTGTTTCAGATTGTGTTTAATGGGCCAAAATGTGCTACAACATTGCCTACTTTGGTCTTCAGATTGGACAAATGTGTAAGCTTCGTTTTCAAAGAGTTAACAATGGCAACTCTGCCTGCACCAAGGAGGTTACAGTTGTTTTAAGGCCCTTGGCCTGCACACAATTATGGTTCAAGGAACAAATGAAATGGTATGAGTTTAACGCCCCTATCAACACTATTAGGTTCTTTAAGAGGCGGGACCTCCTAGTTTAACGTTCGTCTCCGATAGGAACAGAGCGTGTACAAATGGTATTCTGATCGGACAAATGTGTAAGCTACGTCTTGGAAGAGTTAACGATGGCCGGCCTCTCTGCATGCGCACAACTATGGTTCAAGGAACAGAGCGTTTACGAACGTAGGCCCTAACAAGACTCGATCACCAGACTAATGCTCTTGCACGACGGTAGAAGGGTTGTAAAATTTTCAGACCAAATGAGCGAAGGCGTTAAATCGTGTTAACTGGTTTAATAATTAATTAAAAGCAATCCAAGGTCTTTTCTTCACTTTCAATTTTTTTTCTTGTCTCTTCTTTCCCCTTCTTCTTGAACATTTTGAGTTTGGAACCAAAAAAGAACCAAAGGGCCAAATGAAATTCTTCGGGCCAGACGCGATCCAAAAGAGCCAGATTTCTGGGATTTGGCTCCAAACTGACAATCCTGACAGTACTGTGACTATTCGGACACAAACACGATCTGAGGGTGGTTGGCGGGTGATCTGGTGTGGTTTGCTCCTTCTTTCCTATCAAACATCTATGGTCCTTGTCTCTCCTTCTCCTTTTTGGTGTTTGTTACTCTCTTGTAAAATATCTATTTTTCGGCACTTTTAAGACCTTATTGTGTTGCAAGTGCCGTAAGACTCTTACTAAAACTAAAAACGAACACAATCCTGAGGGGCATATAAGCCCCGGTAACCTCAGCCCTGATCCCTCTATGGTCATTTCCGGTACAACGAAGGGGTGGGAATAGCGAGACATAGCCTAGGTTATTCTCACTCTCACCCGAGAAGAACCACTTCCATTGAACTTTGAAGAGCGTTAGAAGTCGTTTGAGATGGAATTATCACCTAAGAAGTCCAAACGGGGCATCGGTGGCCTAGTGGTTAGGCTCTCGGACTCGCAACCGTAAGGTCGTGGGTTCGAATCCCCTCAGGGGCCCGACGTTGTGTCCTTGGGAAAGGCACTTTACACGAATTTTCCTCACTTCACCCAGGTGGGAATGGGTACCCGGCTATAGACAGCGAAAGATCTTGTCAGTTTGTTAGTGTTTGAGTGCTTAATCAGCTGCTTGCACTGTATGCTTCCCGGGAAGCTGAGAATGTTTTGGAGAGTTCTATGGTCTGCTGGGGTAATAATATAGTGTAAAGCGCATAGAGCCTGCTGTTGAGCAGGGATATGCGCTATACAAATGCTATTTATTATTATCATTATCTGACTTACCATCTGCTCACCTCTCTAGCATCAACAGCACAAAGTCTGCTTCGACTATCGAGGCACCCCGGAAATAGCAGTTCTCAAGAGAGTGACAAACATACAAAAGAAGTATAGGAAAAAATGACAATAGTAAGGACGAGAAAAGAAAAAGCAGCAGTTCCCCCTATGTTCTTCCGGAAAAGTAAGAGCATGACATTGATACATCAGCCCGTTTACAAATTCTACTGTGCATAAGAACATGTTAATATCCCTCCTTTGGGAACTTCCTAAAGACAACTTCAGTCAGTAGCACTGCCCTGGTTTGGGGGGCGGGGGGGGGGGGCATTCAGTCTTTGTTCTATTGGCTTGGAGGTCTTGATTCCATAGTGTACGCGCTTGCACAACATGTATTTCACTATCTTAGAATTACAAAGTTCTAACTGGTATGTCTGGCCGTTTTGAGTGTCAGGCCGTTTTGAGTGACTAAGACCATATTATGAGGTCAGAAACCAAATGGGCGCTTTTAAGGACAAGCGGGCTAACCAAGATTTCGGGGGTTTCCAGAAAACTTGACCTACACTTAAAGTGGTCATTGCCCTACCTAGAGGAGAAGTTTGGTTTCATCGATGTGTATATTTGTTTGGTTATAGAGACAAATCTCCTAGTCTTTTAAAGAAACTGAACAAGGGGCAAAAACTTTACCTTCGATTTTCTCAAAACAGCATTTTTGGGGGATAGCCCCCTTGTGCTCAAAAAGCGACCAAATATTTTGTCTGCTATATCAAAACCGGAAGATTATCCTAAGTCGTTATTGTGAGACACTCGTGAAGTGTTGCGTTTGAAAAAGCTTGACATGTTGTGAAACTCAAAATTTTAAACTTCAAATTTATCAAAAATAGGTACTGAGAAGATAGAACTTCTGAAATTCTAGGATTGCGATTCAATGTTTTTCCATTTGTATAAGTGTGAGCCCATGTGTGTGTGTGTGTGTGTGTGTGTGTGTGTGTGTGTGTGTGTGTATTTGTGTGTGTGTGTATTTGTGTGTGTGTGGGGGGGAGGGGGAGTCGTGTGTGCGTGTGTGCTTGCGTGCGTGTGTGTTATCCCACTTGTGTACATATACGTATGTATATATGTATGTGTATGTTTGAGTGCGTGTGCACGTGTGTGAGTGTGCACGTTCACTTTCCACGTGTTTATGAATGTATGTCTGTCTCCGGGGTTTTATGCAACAAAAATTATGCAAAATGAGCCCCAAAAAGTGAAAGTATGCGATTCTGTTCATTTTAACAAAGAATGATAAAGGAAAATAATCAAAAATTATGCGAAAAATGATCAAATTTTGCGAAAATATGTGGGGTGCATAAAACCACGGGGACAGGTATGTGTACTCACAGTTATTGTACTTTTACGTATCAGTTCGGGGTGCTTATTCCAGCAGTATGTCCAGGAAGAAGAGAAGACTTAACGACGTTTTACAAGGCGGGGTTAGCCGCGACGATGCTCCAAAATATTCAAAGAGCACATTTCTATTTACTAACAGGAGAGTTGTAGTTCTTGTGTGATCTTTTCAGGTTTCCACGGCTTGTATACATGACCTGTTGCTTGGCCAACTTTATTGTTATTAATAAATAAATAATGTTTTTTTAAGTTTTAAAGAAGAAAAAAACAACCCACCCCCCCCCCCCACACACACACACTCACACACACACACACACACACACACACACACACACACACACACACACACACACACACACACACACACACACACACACACACACACACATAAAATCGAAACAAAACCAAAATTTAATAAAGCAGCATTAAAAGGGATGAGTGGGACCTTAACCAATGTGTCAGAAACATAAACCATAATATGCAGTGTCTGTAACAGATAAGGAATACAGTGGGCAATGTATATGTATCCCAACATTATGGGATGTGGGTACTGTAGTACAACATTATGTCTATGGGAGTGCTTATTTAGGCCACATATGGCCTAAATGAGGTGAGGGAGGGGGGTTTAGCTTATTTAGGCCACACATGCTCAAACTACCCTTTTCAGGCAACTGAGTTCGCGCAATGCGTCATATATTTCTGGAGGAACTGTCTGTAGCGTGAGTTAAAGTTGTAGTAGATAAAGATGTTGACGTTGGCGTTGATGATGGTGGACATATACGTGATGCCCACAAAGGTATAGATGAGGTTCTGGTAACCTGGCCGGTGACCCAAATCGGGCAACGCTCTCCTGGCGCTCACAAAAAGCATAGAGGGCAAGAGGAGAAGTATGCAGACCACAGCGACTAGAAACACCATGGTCACTACTCGGCTGTCCTTTTTGGACATGGCGCCACTGTTGTTTTTGTTGTCTCCAGGTTCAGCAGAAGTTGCCTTCTGTCCGAAGACAGCCGAGGCTCGGAGGCAAACTGCCATAAAGACGGCGCTGAGAGTGATTGAGGCTGGACTCACGTTGTGAAGGAAAAGTCTGTGGAATGAGTTGCTGAACTTGATAAGATCTTCTCGATCTTCTGAGTACCACATTATCAGACGTGTTCTGTTGATGGAGACGTCATACTGCTCGCTGACACCGTGGCTAATTTGAACTGGGATATACGACACGATGGTACAGCACAAGATAGAAGAACAGATGACTGCTGAACTTTTGGTAGTGAACAAGGTTTTGAACTTGAGAGGCCAGGTGACGCACGGGCAGCGCTCTAGTGACACGAACACCGTAAGGAAAAGGGACGTGTCCACAAACATCGCCCTTGTCCAGTTGGAGACGTGAAGCAAATAAGCGTATAGGTCGGAGAAGTCCGGTATGTAAAAAGGGTCAGCTTTGATGACAGTGCACAATGCGTAGACGAGGGTGGCTAAACAAAGCATAAAGTCAGAGGTGGCCAAGAACATGACAGCCATAGTGACACAATCTGAAAGTCCAGTTTTAGTGAACACAGTAATGTTCATAATGTTAAAGAAAATTCCACTCAAAGAGAAAATTGGCAGAGGGATGATCGTGAATGCAATGTTAACGTACCACATTGCTTGATCGCTTATGAACTTGCTAGTGGTCTCTGGTATGTAGCCTCGTATGCCATTTGACTCAGAGTAGTTAGAAGACATTCTCGATAAAACACTACGTCACAGCGCCACAGGGTGTTCAGTTCTGTGACTGAGAATGAGATGATGTTTGCGCCAAAGTCTTAAAGACGTTTTTTAAGTCATTACTTCTCTTTACACCTCACAATCAACAAAGCAGTGGACCCTCGGGTACTCACACTTACACAAGGATACAAGACTGTAGTAAACAAAATCAAGGTCTTATGAAGACATTAACATTTGTTCACGGGGACTGTCTGAATCTCTTGTTGAGTGGATGGTAAGAACGTTTAGCTCGCAGACCGTTTGAAGTTGTTACACAAATGCAGAAATACAGCGAATAATAGGTTAAATAGACTTAGATTCAGTTCTTGAGCAAGCAACTCTCTGTCATTATTGTCAAGAAATCAGGCTGATCCTTCTTGACAATGAACATGAAGTTGATACTGAAGAAAACCTGTACACATACATTATATTATATACTATGTGGTGCTAATAAGGTAAGGATCATGATCGAACTTTAATACTGGCTTATCATAACAGAACGCGGGAAGTAAAAATACAGAATGATAATATAATTAATATTATAATCACGAGCGGAAATTGGCTGACAGCATAAGTTTCTTTATACACCGATGCCTTTTGCCATTATCGCTTTGTGCACAGTTTTAAAACTTTCTACAATTATTATCATTGTTATTATTATTTTTTATTTCCTTTCCTCGGTGGCACAGAACCAGGAACACCCTAGTGTTGAATGTTCGTCAGATCGTCTGTAATTGTGTGCAAGTGTCAAAGTCGGACTTTGGACTGCACCTCCCACAGTGTTGTCCTTCGATCCCCCCTCAATTATATTTCAATTCTCCCTCCATTATCTTTCGATCCCCCGTCAATTACCTTTTAATGAAAAAAGCATTTTTACGAGCTTCTTTTTCTTCTTATTCTCGGAGAGAATCAATTATCAGTCATATAATTATACTACGATCTTTAAAATTGTTAGCTACCTACCACAGGATAGAGAATACAGAGCTGAACTTTATTTTCTCTCGTTAGGAATAATAATGTTGGCAGATCAATTATCAACTTGTTATCGTGGTTATCGTGGTAAGATGACTAACGAGGAATGGAAAGAGAATTGAGAGGGAATCGAAATATAATGGCG